CAAGACTCGAGAAATCGACTGGAATGTTTTCTATCGTAGTCTGACGCGTGGAGGATAATTTCCAGAACTTCTAGACTGATCTTCCAGTCAGAATTGATCCTTTAGGTACTATTATATTTTTCGTATAAATAGCGCGACTCTGTTGGTAGACGTTAAGTTTTAATATAAGTGTTGTAAAGATAATTGGTAATAAATAAATTATAATTGTGAGGTATACTCCTAATAGTAACTAGGTATTAAATAAATTATTAATTACCTTATAAATAAACTGTTTTTAATAAATAAACTATTTTTAAATTAATCATATATATAGTTACATTAGTATATTAGTTACAGTCTAAGAGATGTTAGCATTTTTATGAATACAAGTTTCAATTTTCTTCTCTATTTACAATACATCTTCTTGCGCCAACACAGGGCCTCGCAAAAATGTATCTTGTCCACATAAAATTTAGGTCCTGCCCCGCCACTGAAGTGGTTTTTTTATTGTTATATAGACGTCTAGAAGCAAATTATTTCATTGTCAACTAAAACGAAAAAATCCATCGATGTTAAACGTTATTTTGAATTTGACAGGTTAAACGACAGCTCCCACCAACTGGACAAAGTACATGTTATTCACTGCCTCCCCCTTCCATGTACCTAACTACAAAACACGACATGCCACTTTAAATATTTTTTTTGACGATTGTGTTGTCATTTAGTTTTCTATAAAATGTGTATCTAATAGATTTACAAGTCAGACTTTTTAACCTTTAAATATATTTAATTTTACTAGATATTAAATAATATTTTTTTAGTCTTGTACAAGGATTTATTCTTCCTATCTTTATCCTTCATATCCGTCTTCAACTTATTTGGAATAATAATTTAAAATCTGTAAAATATAGATACTTACCTCATTTGTAACGATTCTATCATTTTTATTTTTGTTAGTTTTAATTAAAATAAGGCACATTATCATTTTTTGAAATTAAAATGTTTTCATTTTTACCAATATTGTTACCTACATTAACGTTGCCAATATTGTTTTCAACATCAATATTAATCTAAAACAAACATGACAAACAATAAATAAAAAAAATCATCTTCAATGAAAATTTTTTATAAATTGTTATTGGTCGATAATAAAACTAATACGTTATCTTTAAATTGTCACTTACGTTTTAAAGACTTTATGACGTTATATTGACAGGGTGTAATAATGTATATGCTTTTTCAGTGAATCCAATCTCATCTACAGAATCGAAAATATCCAAATTTGATACTGATTCTAAACTATTCAAATACAGAGTCACTTTATTATCTGGTAAATTAATTAAATCTGAAGTAGGAATAAGACATTCATCTCTCTATGACAATTTTTTATTGTTATTTTCATTCAGAATAGTTCATAAAATATAAAAAATTACTATATGTTACAACTCTAAAATATTTTTATTCAACTTTTTTATCATTGGTTAACACAAGTAGGTACTGTCTACTAAAATGTGTATCAATTTTCACCTTAACTAATGAAAACGATTATTATGAATTCCCGTATTTAACACCCCTGGTAAACACCCTATATCATAAATTATTATAGATACAAGAATAGGTTGTATATTATATATTTTTTTAACCGATTTCAAACAAGTGTAAATTAAAAATTTAAAAAAACCGACTTCAAAAACGTGCAGATGTCATCACCACATCTTAACCAAATTTATATGGGATTACCCCTGAGGTACCCCCTTACTAACAAAAAAAGAATCATATAAATCGGACAAGGTGGTAAAGCATTATCGCTAAACATACATCAAAAATGAAGAGTTTGAGGATTTTCTCATGGACCTAATTATTAGATTTTGACTAAATTTATATGGGACCACCCCTGAAGTACCCCCTTTCTAACAAAAAAAGAATCATTGAAATCGGACACTGTGTTAAAGAATAATCGCTGAACATACATAAAAAAAAAAAATATCGCGACGAATTGATAACCTCCTCCTTTTTTGAAGTCGGTTAAATCTAATTAAATAATAAAAATACATCACCAGTACTTATTATTATACAGTATATTCATTATCAAAACAGTATAATAATAGGAAATTAGGATCTAATAAAAATTGCTTTTAAATACTTGAAATTTTATTCTAAATTTTATGTGTTACTTAAAAAGTTAGTCATTTAAGTGTAATTATAAGTTGGTTTTTAAGTTCAGTTATAAGTTGGTTTTTAAGTTTAATTATAGTTGGTTTTTAAGTTTAATTATAAAGTTAGTTATTTAAGTTTTATTATAATTATCTAAGTTTTAATATAGTTATTTGTCTTTATTATAAAGTTAGTCAAGCCAATGTTCTTTATTAAGTTAGTTATTTAAGTTTTATTGTAAATAAAGTGTATACTAACTAAACATTCATTTATTGTCGGAACAGCATTCTTCTTCAATCTGACCCTAAACTCACTCTTATCAAAAAATTCTTCCTTGAAGTGAATAGATCACAACATGCTATTCGGTTTAGGCTCAAATTGGTCTTTTCTCACAAATTTAGACCAAATTTTGAGATATTGTGGGCCTTTTGGAAACCTATAATAAAAAAAAGTTAAGCATTCTAAAAAAAATTCTAAGTACACTCCTTATACTTACTTATGAAAACTTAAATTAGATATTTTCTTACGCTCTTTCACTGAAGAGTTTTTACAATTAATTTTGGCATGATTTTTATACAAATTAATCAAATAAAAAAACACTTATTAAGATAGAAATAACGTCGAAATATTTAAATTTGAACAAAGTTCTGACAACTCTTTGACAACTATAACATGACCACTAGAGTGTTTCATTTTTGGGCAACTTTTTTTTTTCAACTAAGAAACAGGCTTAAAATTTTCAGGAAGGTGAAAAAAGAAGCCTCTAAAAATGTGAGCTCTTAATATTAACATTAAGTGGTGCCTGTTCCTAACTTTTCATTTTCCATTTAAATAGCATGGAAAAAAAATTCTTTTTTCTTATTTTTGTAGCTTGACATTTTAGCATTAGAAAAATAAACTAAAAAATTATTTTGGTAGGAAATTGAACGCTCTACAAAAAAGTTCTTATTTATTTTTTTATAGAGTGAGCCGTTCTGAAAATATTCAAACTTAAAGTTGCAAATGTATGAAATTATGACTTTTATTTTATTAAAATAATACTGATGACCTTCTTAATGTCCTAAAAATTATTTTCAGGAAAAAAGAAACGATTAATTTGGTATTATGTTGAATTTTTAATCTTTCTTTATTTTTATATTATTTTTTATTTCAAAGTCGGTAATTCTGATAAACGATTATATCAGCTCAGTCGGTATGTTACCGTTCAGATTAATTTTCTAGTGGAAATATAGGTTGAGTATTGTTGTGTCATTACTTTCTTTTGTTTAACTTGATTGAATTGTTGAAGTGACGTCTGTGATTAAATAATAGTGTTGATTAATAATTATTAATTTTGGAATATTAAATATAGTTGTTATAAGTAGCCAACTAATCATGAAGAATTCAATTTATTTGATTGGTGACAGCAATGCAAATTTTGTTGGCAAGAAGCTACCAAGTGTAAAAGAGGTTATGTCTGTTTTTTTTATGAACACACTTTTCTTAAAAAATCAATTAAAGAAAGTTCTAAAAGTACAATTATTAAAGTAAATAAATTATGGCGTGCTGCTGAAATACCGACTTGTGGTTTAAAATACGCAACGACAAAACTGACAAAAATCTTTAATTGTTGGAAATTGTTACAAAAAAATTGTAAACAAAAAAAGTTTGTTGCACAAAAGAAGAAAGAGGAACTTTTCTTACAAAATTTAAATAAAGTCTTTGATATTTCGAAAAAGAATGTGGAAGAATTACTCGACGATGATAAGAAATTATTTTTTCTGTCCCAAAAATCTGGAACTCGTTACGGTTTTATTGACAATAATATTCCAGAAATATCTCCAGCTACCAATGATGACATAATGGAAGTGGATCACAGTGGTAATTATTAATTTATCTGTTTTCTGAATGATTATTTTGATAATAATCGATTTTATACATGCAATTAAAACTAATTTAAACTTTTTAGATACAAATCTATTGACAGACGATAATGCTAGTGACATTCCACTCTCACAGTCAACAGTTTTCTCATCAATTATATAGTGTGTCTTCACGTACAATTTTAAATTTTGAAGATGAAATTCACTTTCGACCGCCTTCTAAAATTGACATAGTTACTCCAGATCTCTGTGCTGCCCTAGACAGAGCAAATATTAGTAGTAGAAATGCCACTTTTATCATTGCAAGTATTGGATTAAACATTAATAATTATATATATTAATATATTATATTATATGATGCCGTATTAAATTCAGAAAATATATTGCTACGGGATTAAAAAATGAATTTAATATTGATGATCGTTTTGTTCTACATTGGGATGGCAAAATTTTGCAACATCTTATTGATCCTCAATCTGTAGAAAGGCTCCCAATTCTATTGTCTGTCTCAGGTGTTGAACAACTACTTGGCGTCCCGAAAATGGCGAAAGGTGATTCTGAAAGTCAAACCTCAGCTATCATTACTACCTTAAACAAATGGCACGTTGGTTCTCGCATCAAAGCTATGTGCTTTGATACAACAGCTGTAAACACAGGTAAACTAATTCGTTTTAGTTTTTCTGTTTTCCTCACAAACCTAATATTTCATTTTACGTGATTTAATCTCATATTTATTGTTATCACCAGTTAATTTTCTTATAATTTCCTTTCACTAATTATTGTTCTTATTTATTAATCAGGTAAATTCAACGGAACGTGTGCTCAAATAGAGAGAATCTTACAGCGAGAACTAGTTTATCTTCCATGTCGTCATCATATTCTAGAAGTTGTTTTACGGGCAGTTTTTGAAAATTATTGGCCTGTTACTTCTGGTCCAAATATACCAATTTTTTCAAGATTTTTAAAAAGTGGGATACCATTGATCGGTCTAAATTTCAAAGCGGCATGGTTGATGATATTGTAGCCAAGGTTCTGATGAAAGACAAGCACGACTTACTTACATTTATTAACAACTATTTACAGGTAAAAATTTTCGTAATTTTACTTTTGTATGCGTTACATAAATTTTAACAACAAATTTAATTCATGTTTTTAGATTTCTCATCCACGGGATGATTATAAAGAACTCCTGGAGTTTTCTTTGATTTTTCTCGATGACACTCCAAATCATATAACTCATTTCAAACGTCCTGGTGCTATGCACCATGCGAGGTGGATGGCAAAAGCTATTTATAGTTTGAAAATATTCTTGTTTAGGAGTGAATTTAAATTAACAGCGCGTGAAACAAAAAATCTCAGAGAAATTTGCATTTTTGTCGTTTTATTCTACATCAAAGCTTGGTTTACCTCGACTTCTGCAATTCTCGCTCCAAAAGAAGATTTAGAACTAATGCAAAAATTAAATCTATATCAAGAACAAAATTTACCTGTCTCATTAGCTGCTATCAAAAAACTATCCGATCATTTGTGGTATCTGAATGAAGATTTAGCTGTTTTTGCACTATTTGATAAAAATGTTTCTGTTGAAATTAAGAGGCAAATGGTTGAATCGATGAAGAGCCAGGAGGAAACTATAATTATTGAAAAACGACGCAAAGAAGACAGAAACTCATCAGAAATATTTTTAAACAAAAATATGAGTGATTTTGTTTCAAAACAATCAATGAAACTTTTTGATAAATTTGATTTGCCGTACGACTTTCTGGATAAAGATGTACTTATGTGGCCAGATAATGAAAGTTATAAGGAGAATTTGGATTTTTTCGAAAAATTGAAAGTGGCCAATGACGTTGCAGAACGTGGCGTCGCATTAGTAGAAGAATATAATAGATGTCTAACTAAATATGAGGAACAATTTCAATATTTATTACAAGTGGTAAAAGAGCACCGACAAAAATATCCAAATTGTAAAAAAAAACTCTTCAACAAATATAGTTATATCATTTAATTCTGCTAAGACATTATAATTCTTATTAAGTTTAAAAATTTTAGTATTCTAATTGTTAAAAAGTTTTTTTTATCTATAAAATAATTTTACTGAACTTAATTAATAATAACTTTTGTTTAACAGTTAATAAAATAATATCTAAGACGTATTTTATATTTATTTTAGCTTCCTAAAAATATTAGAGCACAAAAACCAATTTTATGATTAAAAATAATTTTTAAGACATTAAAAAGTCATCAGTATTAGTTTAATAAAATAAAAGTCATAATCTCATACATTTGCAACTTTAAGTTTGAATATTTTCAGAACGGCTCGCTCTATAAAAAAATAATTTAGAACTTTTTTGTAGAACGTTCAATTTCCTACCAAAATAATTTTTTAGTTCATTTTTCTAATGCTAAAATGTCAAGCTAGAAAAATGAGAAAAAATATAATTTTTTTTCCATGTTATTTAAATTGGAAATGGAAAGTTAGGAACAGGCACCACTTAATGTTAATATTAAGAGCTCACATTTTTAGAGGCTTCCTTTTTCACCTTCCTGAAAATTTTAGGCCTGTTTCTTAGTTGAAAAAAAAAGTTGCTCAAAAATGAAACACCCTAATGACCACTAAGAGAGGGGGAAGAAGTGTCGTTTTTTTTGGCATGTCATCTCCATAATATTCAACCTCATTGATTGGCACAAACAAGACTTTTAAGATAACCCCACAGAAAAAAAATCTAATGGAGTTAGGTCGCACGATCGCGGCGGCCAGTTTACGTTTCTAAAACGAGAAATAATGCGCCCTGGGAACTTTTCACGCAGAACATCAAACGTGGCACCCGCTGTCTGGCAAGTTGCTCCGTTCTGTTGGATCCACTTGCCTTTCAAAACAATATTTTCTATTTCATGCCAAAAATATTCGCGTATTATACGCCTATATCGCTCACCATTAACTGAGACAGCGTCACCCCGATCGTCTTCAAAGAAGTAAGGCCAAATGACGCCACCTGACCACAGACCGCACCAAAGAGTTAGTTTTTGCGGATGTAATGCTGTTTCTTGGATCTCATGGAGATTTTCGTCTCCCCATATGCGGCAATTTTGTTTGTTTACGTATCCTGACAGATGGAAATGGGCTTCATCAGAAAAAAAGATTTCCTTTGAGAAGTCAATATCGATTTTCTGCTGAGCTAACACCCAAATTACGTAAATTCGTCGTTGATTATGGTCCTTGGGCTAGGCTTTAGTTCTTGTGTTAGCTGAATTTTGTATGGGTGTAAATCCAAATCCCGATGCAAAATGCGCCAAAGGGAGTCATAAGAAATGCCGAAAACTTGCGAGCGCCGGCTAATCGACATTCTTGGGTAGGCAGTCCCGCTTACACTAACTGCAGCAATATTTTCATCTGAACGTGCACGACGATGATTTGCAGACCTTCTTGTATCTGCAACACTTTCAGTATCTCCAAATGTTTTAACGACATTTCGAATAGTTCGCTTAGTAGGACAATTAAATTGACCAAAAGTCTGTGTACGTTTCGTACGGAATTGTAGTTTTGATAAAATAATCGCACAATTTCCATGCGTTGAGCGGTCGTAAAGCGATTTATTTCGTAAATGTGTTCCTATTCGCTCCGTGCAAAGTCATGGAAAGGGAAGCAAAAGCGATACTAGCGCTAGCTGCGGATAATTCGTGCATTTTAGGGCGATATTTTGTAATTTTGGCATATCAAATACACGTAAACATTTTTCTTTTTTTTAAAAAAGGAGGTAAAAACAATACAATAGGCAACCGGACTTGCTGTGTTGAAATTGTATAAATACTAGCAAAAACAAACAGTGAAACTTATATAAAAAAATTTAGTAGCAAAGTGGAAATTAAATCAAAGAAATAAATGAATAGGTGTACAATAAGAAGAAAAATTACCTTTATTTTTGTAATAATAACAGTAATGCTGGAAATAGTAGACATCAGAAACTTGAAAGGTTTTAAATAAACAATAAATTTTCATTTTACGATGTTCTTTAATATCCCTTTATTCTTAAATGTTCATTCAGTAAGGACTAGATTTCAAGATTTCTGCCTTTGATTATTATATGTGGCTGAATGCAATTTTGTGACTTACTGATGGGAAACCAGTTTTAATCATTCATTCTATGTTTTCTTTCCAACAAAAATGAAAATATAAATTACGATCCTTTTTTTACACATTTTAACTTCACGCTATTATTTATAAATTTTTTTATTTTGACAGCAGAACAGGCTTTCTTCAATGACAACTTATTAGACTTAGGCAACTTTTCATACATTTTCTAGTAAATACTGTTGCCTGCCTATATTTTATTATTCATTTTTATTGATTATACATAATTTTCTTTAAATTAAGAGATCAAAATATATAATAATAATTAATTAATGTTTTACTTGTTTTACAAATTCATATACTTTTATTAAAACTAACATATATACTTTTTAATTACGAATTTTAGTAAAAACTGCATTTGTCAGTGTACGCAGAAATAGTCCATTATTACCAAAACGAATTGGCGCTGCTGTCGCGCACGGAGCGAATAAACCATTGATAAGGCAACGTAAGGATACGTCATATGTATTATTTTTGATATACAAAAGTGGGACCGGTAGGCGTGCCTTTTGCACTCACTAAAATGGCGGAAGAGCAGAACCGGATTTACAAGTTTTTATTGTACCTACTATTTCTGGTTAAGTATCATTATTTGAATTATAAAAAAATTATTTTTCTTTTTATTGACATTGACTGGTGGTGGAAGGCCGAGGTTATAAAAGAAGGGGATTTAAAAGCTTAACTATGCCCGGTTTTCAGCCGAGAGGTGTTGAATAAAGTAAATGAAAGAAATAAATAATTATCACTCAAGTGGCTATTAAGCGCTGGAGATTATATTATTTGCAAAATCGCAATTAATCAATGATCATGATATAACTAACTTGGGGCCGATTCCACCATTGGGTTTAACGAAGTTTAAAATGAAATTTTTACATAAAATGTAATTTTAATCTTTAATTAATAGTTTAAACTTTAACACAATGGTAAAATTAACCCTAAAGCGTTGAAATCATTTACAGAAAAAATAAATAATACATTTTTGGTTCACATAAGCGACAAAAGTAAACAGAGTTCGATTTATTGGATCAGTCGTCACACGTTTGCACTAGGGCACATAAATAGCTCAATCTTTAGTTTTTCGTTTTTCTATGAGCCCAATGCTTTTTGTTCTTAAATCGGAAAGTACTAGGTCGCAAATGTCAAGTAATCTAACCTTACTTTAATTAACAGCTTTCTCGAAATTAAGAACATATGTTCATACACTAGAAGCTCGATATTCAGATACGAAACTTAATGCAAGGCTCGCGGAAAATGGCTAAGCAATATCTGTGTAGTTAGATGCACTATTCAGGAAATCAAAATGTGGATTAATCTTACTTGGTCTTGGTACTTTTGTAGATTCAGACTGAAAGGTATATATCTTCATGCAAGACATTCACTTAATCAGCGAAGCCACAACAAGCGGTGTGCAGGTGCATTTCTAACAAATGTAAAATATGAAGTGATCTTACTTGAGACCTATAGATCAAATGACGATATTATGGTAGTTGGTTTGAGCTGGGCTTCTCACCATCTGCAGAGATTATGACTACTTATGTAATGGCCTACCGTAGTAAAACACAACATGCACCACAAGCGTGTATGATTGAAAGTCAGACAAAGAATGTGAAGATAAAGTTGAAGTCTCAACTATAGTTAAAGTCACAGATGAAGTTAAAGTTAACAGCAAACGAGTTGAAATTGTAGGCTGGTGATAAAGGGAGGCCAACATCTAGGTAATAAATGTTTATCGAGTTAGGAAAAGTATCCACTGTAAGTGCTTTTCTTGACCACTAAGGTAAAAACCAGAATATTTCCTAATACACAATTTCTTCGCTAGGCAAAATAAGAAATAAATTTGTGAGAGTACTTCCCAAGTGTTTTTACAAAAGATCTAAGAACAAAATTGATAAAAATGGCCTAATCCAAGTTCAAATTCTAAAACTTGAACACTAAAGATAAGTATCTTACTGTAAAACAAGTAAAACCCCGTTGTTGAATAAATGGTTGAATAATTCATTACCTACGTGGAGGTAGAATAGGGACTAAAGTTTAGCAGAAAAAGCCACTAGAAAAGGTGAACAAAATAGACTGGGGCATATGAACATCAAGCAAATATTGTAAATGAAAATAATGTGTGCTGTGATTAAATAAAAGTGTACAAGGAATAAAGTTTTAATATTTTCTTATCCATATCTAGGAGTAATATTTATTTTTAATACTAGACAAACGGTTATGGTTTTGTTGCTAGTCTTATTAAAAAAAAACTAAGTGAGTATTGATGTTAAATATTTATTATTATAAGAACTTATATGCACTATACAAACTTAAATATCATATTCCTGAATTCATTTCAAGCATAAAATGTCCTATGAACAAATATCCAATTCTGCATGGTTACCAAGCTACAAGAGTTTAAATATCAAAAGATATATTAACATAGTAAACAACGTAAAAATGTCCAGTAAATATAATATTACACAGTAATATTTCTGAAATAAAAATTTTAAATCTTTTAGAGATATTAAATAGTAATATTTCAGAAATGTATTCTAGATTTTTTTTCTCTAAAATATTATAAGACTAAAAAGACATTTATAAATATACAAAATACACAAAACTCAAATATTGATTCTTAAAACATTATTTCAAAAAATATAAAGGAATCACTTCATTTCCACAAAGTCCTTTAAATGCACTAATCTGAAACAAAGTTTTTTTAATAAATGCCCCAAGTAAAGAAACATTTACGATTGTTATAATCTAATCATTAAGATCAATTAGAAATGTTATTCTAACTTATCAAGGGATGAAAAACTTCACAA